GTACAAGTAACTAGAAAAAATGAGATCAATACTTTCGTTATAAGATATTTTTGTTTGTTTGATTTATAGTGTACTTTTAGAAGATTGAAAATGAGTAGTTTCTTGAACAAAAACATAAACAAAGCACTATTGTTTGCTTCCAGACTATATATTTCTTGTAATTATGCTTTAAGTTATTTTTAGTCTTAAAATTTACGTTGCCTTGTAAAATTTAAATTTTAAAATCTAGGTCTTAAATACAAAGAAGCAGTACGTCGAAGTAATTTTAATGAATTTAATTTTTGCTTTGAAAAACCCAGTTAACAACAAGGACGAAGAAGTTGGGTGTGGCCTTAAATTTATTGCTAAAGCATAGAAGAACATTATAGTGTAGTAAATAGTTGGTTCAAAAAGTTAAAAATTCGTTTAATTGGCTATATCATTTGCACGGTATAGCAATCGAATTGTAGATATTTTAGCTATGGAAAATGAAACTGGTCCATTAAAAGTAAAACGTTTAGCACTCTCAAAACTTTGTGAAATGTTGCAAGATATTGGTGTGTTAATAAATACAGTTGATATAAAGAGTACCAGTTACCCTGCTGATGTTTTTACAGTGTGTCAACAATATTTTGATTTTTTTTTTTTGTTTTTTGCACAAAACTGCAAATGTTACCGTTTGGACAGTAGGCTATGCTATTCCCTTTTTTTGTTGCAGAATTTTATAAAAAATTTTGCGTCAGTTATGGAATGATCTCAATGCAAGGTAAAGAGTCAAAGCATTCTGAAATCAAAATGCAGTTAGGATTTGAAAGTAATAAATCTGAATCGCATGATAATAAAAGTAAATGGTTCCAGTAAATGCGAACTAACTTTGTACGAAATTTTTATAAACCTTACCATTTTCCGTTCATTTCTACATACCACTCTCATTGCACATCTCGAAAGCCAGTTCCAAGTAATAGGATGCAATGTTCCTGTTCTCGTACTCTCAATTCTGATGAGCTCTGTCAAAATTGCATTGACTGTTTTCCTTTAATGGAATGTGTTTTAATAAAAGAAATATTTGGATTAATCCTTGATATGGTTAAGCCTATTAGGTGCCCATTATGTACGCAAGTGTTTCCTGATGATGTTCTTCTGCAAAATCACAAGTGTATATCACTAACACATAGTTTTAATTGTAAAGATATAGCACCTCAGGATATGACAAACGAAAATTTAAAGTCTGAGTTATCTAAACAAAACCAATCTTCGGACAGAACTTGAGCCATGTTAATACGACGTTTGGATAATTTACTGGGTTAACAACATTGTTATTGACGAGTTTGGTATAGTGGAAACAAAAAAACTTAAAAACGGCTACTTTCATAGCCACAAATTTATTTAAAAGCATTTCAATGGTGTATGTAACAAAATGCAATGCTAAGTAAGTGATATTAAAATAATACCTTAAAATTTTGTTGCTTGATTCATAAAATCTTTATTCATAACTGCATGACTAAGTTTATGATTTTAAAGATAAACATCCGACAGATGTTAAACTTAGAAATCATTTCTAAAATTGCAATTTAGCTTATACTATCTTGACATCACTACAAATGAAATATAGTATCTAAATTTTAGAAGCTAATAAAAAACTATTTTAAAAAAATTACTCAACTGCCTATTTAGAAAAGGAAAGAATTCGGAAATGGAGGGCTATTCTAAGGCAACAATATTAATACTTTACATAAACTTCCTCTCAAGAAAAGGAAAGAATCCAAAAATGGAGGGCTAACCTATAGCAACAATACTTATACTTTACATATATATATATATATATATATATATATATATATATATATATATATATATATATATTTTTTTTTTTTTTTTTTTTTAATTTTAATTCACCTCCACAAGGCGGAGAAGGCCACTACAGACGAGGAGGCTACTTATTTGTGGTTATAACCCTCTCTCAACTCTATAACTCCGAAACACGAACCTTGACGAGCAAGGCCGCTGCGCGGAGAAACGAGTTGAGTATATATATATATATATATATATATATATATATATATATATATATATATATATATATATATATATATATATATATATATATATATTGTAAATGCATGCATAATACTTAAAACTGATATAAGTAAAATGTAGTAAAAAATAAATAAGAATAATAAACAATAGTCAAGGAAAGTCATTAGTTGTTGTGCTACTAAATTGCTGTTAGAGTCCAGCGTAAGTTTGATGTATAGATATTACGTGTGTAACTATTGTAGTAGCATGCCTCAATAGTAAGAGTTATCAGTATAAAAAATAGTTAAAGGTCATTTAAAATGGTGTAATGTAAGCTAGGCGTGAATTTTAGTAGTGCTATGACGTGTTTCTAGAGAATAAACAAACTATTACAACTAGATGATCTAAAATATTAAACTAGAACTACATTAATATAGCAAGAAAAACTAATATATAAATTTTTTAACTATTAATCTGTATAAAAATTACCACTAATACATATAAATCATAAGGAGCTTTGTAGTTTAACTGGTTAATATATAAGGTTTCGAAAAAGTGTTTGGTATTTTGTATAAGTAAAAAGATTCACAGTGTATAAGTCACGTGACTGTGATGTTGCGAGAAGTATTTAAAGTGGAGTAGAATTATTCGTTTTATGAAAATCGTGGCTTGTTTTTTGCTTAATAATATGCATAGTGACTTGTGTCATAAGTCTTTCAGTGTGAGTTTTTTGTATTAAAATAATATTATTAGTTGTTAGAAACTTGTAATTAAATCTAAGTAATGTAATATCTAGTAATAATTTGAAATTATTGTATTTTATTTTCTATTAGCTTAACTCCTTATTAGCATTTTCCTAATATTTTAACAGTGTGAAGACAATACAGTAACAATAACATGTGTTTATATGTAAGTGTACTAATTAAGTGTTAATACTTATCTTTTATGAAGGGATGTGTATGTGTGTACATGATAGAGCTAGAGTAGAGTTATTTGTTTTTTAAGTAGTTACTGGTGATGTATGCAACAGAGCAGGAGTAGAATTACTCATTTAAAAAAAAAATAGTTGTCAGATGAAATATAAAAAATAGTTTGTCACAGAGCAGGAGTAGAATTATTCGTTTTTAAAGTAGTTATCCAGGGGTGGACCCGGGAAATTATTTGGGTACATCTGATTTTTTGGAAAAATCTTTAACCTCTCCCCAGGGCCGTTCCGAATAATGGGGGGTGACAGGTGTCCCTCACCCCTCCCCTTAAGCTATCTTACAAGCATTTGAGTTAGCACATTGAGCAAGTTTTGAACTATAGTTGGCATACTGGAAATATAAAGGACCTTTTTTTTTTTTTTGGTGTCTCTAGTCCTTAGTGGAAAAGCAAAAAAATTCATACACCCCATCATGGAAGACCTCTTCCATTAATATATCAAGATTAACCGAGATCTATTATTAAAAGAGGTCTATTAAGTTAATCTAATATTTTCTTCAATCAAAAATATGCAAGATTATCACTGGGGCACTTTACTTTTAGATTATAAAATTATATATTTACACATTATTTACAGATCTATTAGTAAAAACTATATTTTCACATTACCATTAATAAAATAAATTACACAATGCAAAATTTTATATTTATATTTTAACAAATATATTATAAAATAACACAAATTATAATAAAATATTTGTATATTAAATATGCAATTTTAAATTATATAAATAGGTATTTAGAGATGCATTCTTAATGCCACAATTTGTTAAAAAAAATAAAATTTTAAAACATTCATTTTAATAAATTTTGCTTATAATACATTAAAACTGAAGAAAATCAATTAAAAAAACCAAAGCATTTGCCAATATAACAAATACAACATAGCATTTTATATATAGAAACGATAACACCAAATTGGTGTTATTATTGTTTGGCACTATACCAGGGTGCTTAACATATATATTTTAGGTGCCAAAATGATTAATTTATCCACTCACATTCACATGAAGTTAATGGAAAAGTAGCATGTAAATTTTTAATGTTTTTACAACCAAGAAAATTTATCACTTTTAACAACTCAGTAATATTAATATTGAAACTACCTTTTTAAATTTAACTAAAAGGCTTCACATAAATGAAGCTCACAAAGTTAAAGCATGGGAATTCAGTAGATCTGTTTCATAAAATTAACTAAAAGATATAATTAAACTTCTGAAATTATTTTTGTAGGAACTAGCACAAAGTTCTTGAAAACTATCCAAAAAAAAAGTAAACCTTTTCCACCCAACATGTTCAAAATGGAACAGTACTTTCAATATGCTCCTCTAAAATTTGTCATCTGGTATGTACAAATTTAAAAAGTATGATACCTCATTAAAGTTTGTTAAAAAAGATACTTGTCATATTGCAAAACATGATAAAGTGCTAAAAAGATACTTGACATATAGCACTTTGGGTAAAGCTACAGTTAAACGGCCTAAAATAAATTTACTATTTTGCTATTTGCGCTCTCGTTCGTAGAGACTTTAAAATATTAAAAAAATATAAAAGCAAAGAAAATTTATTTTATTCTAATAAGAGCAAAGTAAATTTATTGTTTTGAAAAAAGCTGTTTGCGGAATTTAATGTTTTATGCTTTATTTTATATATTGTTTTCTTATTATTTTTTATTATTTTATATATTATTATTGTTGATTATTAAAAGATTGTCTATGATTCGTACTTAAAAAAATATATTTATTATTATAGTATCAAAACTTTTATTCTAATTTATAAAATAAGCAGTAACTAAATTATATTTGAGTATTTAAATTACCGGAATAGGATTATTATAATTACCGTTTGTGCCAATGTGTTTTTTTGAAAGATATGTGGCTATGAAAATAGCCGTTTTATTGATCAGTTACAAAGGGTACTGACGGGATACACACGAAAGAAATGCTGAAAAAATTGGAACATCTTTATACCGTTGACGCCACATAAACTCGTGGATATGGGATGTGAACAAATCTTCGTGTGTTCCAAACTGCTGGCGCAATTTTCATTTAGCACGCATCCATAGATTTTCAATGTTCTGGGTGTGTGTGTCGTTATCATAAGGGTCTACAAAATTCCGTTCATGGATGAAAACTGCGTGGGAATATATTCCATTATGTAGGTTTTCTATTCCAGCATAAGATGTCCATCCATCCGAAACGATATGTGAACCAGGCAAAATAAACTGCAATATACAATTTTGGAGAGTTGCCGCAGTTCGATCTGGAAGTTCAACCAAAAAACATTTTCGAGACTCCCTCTCAATACCACCAAACACCCAATGACCTGGGCGCCATTGACCACGATGGTATTTTCGATGAAAAAATTTGGACTCGTCAATTTCAACAACAATTGGTGTCCCATCAGCATTGGTTCCTCCAATAAAGGACGGATTTGTCTCCAAATCAACTTCGCAAACATCTCTGCAAAAGTTTGCCCAATCATCAGCTAATGTGTTGGGAGCGTCCTTCATAGCAGCTTCATGTTGGATCATGCTCTGTGGCATATTTTGACTCCAACCATATATTAAGTTATTAAGATTTGTAGAGACAGCCTACTTTGGCTAAAAAAGGAACCATCTCTTACGCTTTTGCGCTTATTGCACCCTTTGCACTTCCACCGGTAACCATCCTCTGCATCTTGATAGGCATTTAAACCAAACTGTGTGTTGCAGTTTTCGCAATACACTCTGTTTTTTATCAATCTGCGTTTAGCTAACCACTGTAAAGCAGACATTGGTTTAAGAATGCTAAACCCTAAATTTAATAAACGTCAATTTTCCTGCAATACCGCGTCAATCGGAATAATTTCTTCGACTATGCTTGTAGGATCGCTTGGTCTTCCACGAGCAGCACGTTGCATTGCCATCTAAATAAGCAAATAATCTATAACTCTTTAATTATGAAATTATAAATAATATCATTCATATAATTCATGTCTTGTTATTCCATTTTATTTAAGAAGTTTACATATACAAATAATTTTAATTTAAATCAACTAATTTAAAAAACTATATTTTTTAATTTAATAATTAAACAACTAATTATTATTTATTTACCTTCAACTTTAATATAAAACTTCAACTTTTAATTAAATATTTTAATTTCAAATTCACTTATCCGTATCATTTATTATTACATAACATAAATAAGTTTCGCTTTAAAAATACGCTCCATCGTGTTTTAAAAAGCGGAAAAATATAATTATTTTAGGCCGCTTAACTGTAGCTTTACCGCACTTTGTATGAGGCACAAATAACTAAATTAAGTCTGAGACAAAACTTTAGTGTGACCATCAATTGCTCTAGCACCACCATATCACAATTTATGATATATAAAAAGGAATCCGAAATATTTATTACCAAAAAAATAAAATAATCCCTACTAGGTTTCTAAGAAACTGATAAATTCTCTATTTGAACTTTGAACCAACAAACCATATAATTAAAAGTTGTTGTTCTCTACTTTAATTTTCAGAAGTTTCATCAGAAAAACGTTTAAAATTTTTAAACTATTTTGTTATTAACTTCTCTGAAACACTTTTTTGCCAGATAGTATGGTATCTTAGATATGTAAAAAGCGTTTTTTGTTAATAATATCTAAGCTAATTTTGAAAAATTTTATCACCAACATAAACACGGAAATGTTGCAAACACTTGATTTTTTAAGAAAACTACGTTTATTTACAAGAGTCGAGACATTTTAAATATCACAACTTTAAATATTTCAGGGTGAAATTCTTAAGATACGTCCGACTGTGTTTTTTCATAAATAAAATCAATTACTTAAAATTTAAATATCAAAAACTAAACTAAATAAAAAGCTTAATCACAGAAAAAAATAATGTTAGGTACGTCCATTGTTTTATTTTGATATGTAATAACTATTAAAATATATTTCACCTCCTGATTATCGCTAAACTATGGATTTTGACTAAGATTTTATTTAGGGTGTGCTACTTTGGGTACGTCCAAAAATTGTTATAAGTAAAAAACTAATATTTTGCTTTTATAACAAAAAAAAATAAAAATTTAAAAATTTTTTTTATCGTCTAACAAAATAATATTGGGTACGTCCATTGACCGTTCTAATAAAATATTATTTATTTATTATTACTTTAACCTCCAGTTAAAAAAGATTTTTTTATTTACTGCTCAAAAAGCAACTTTCATTACTCTAATAAAATAAAAGCGAAATAAAATTTTTTTTCTAACTGTTTTTTTAACTTTTAACTGAATAAAGGTAATAAAACTTAAATTTAATTCACTTGACGGTTAACTAAAAAATTATTTTTATACGCAATATTGAAATAATATATTGACCTTTTTTTTTAGATTTATTTTTATTTTTGGGTACGTCTACAGACGTACTAGGCGTACCCTAGATCCGCCCCTGGTTATCAGGCGATGTATGTGACAGAGTTGGAGTAGAATTATTCGTTTTTTAAAAATAGCTATCAGATGATGTATGTAGCAGAGCTGGAGTAGAGTTATTCGTTTATTATGGAGTAGAGTTATTCGTTTATTATGGAGTTATTTGTATATTATGGAGTATAGTTATTCGTTTATTATGGAGTTATTCGTATATTATGGAGTAGAGTTATTCGTTTATTATGGAGTTATTCGTATATTATGGAGTATAGTTATTCGTTTATTATGGAGTTATTCGTATATTATGGAGTAGAGTTATTCGTTTATTATGGAGTTATTCGTATATTATGGAGTATAGTTATTCGTTTATTATGGAGTTATTCGTATATTATGGAGTAGAGTTATTCGTTTATTATGGAGTTATTCGTATATTATGGAGTAGAGTTATTCGTTTAAGTAGTTGTCAGATGGTGTATGAAAAAGAGCTGAAGTAGAATTAATTGTTTTTTAAGTATTTGTCAGATGTATGTCACAGAACTGAAATACCAGTATGAATATTAGAATGATAAACGTAAGTGCATTGAAAAGTAAATGATTACAATATAGGTGTTTTAATTTCCAATTATCCATGTAGTGTCAAGATGACATTCTCATCAGGACCATTAGTTGTCATCAGGGAGTTTCGAAGGTCTGGCGCCTGACCAATGATCGACACCCTGTAGACACGACTTTGCTAAAATAGAGCACATGTTCAAAATTTGTAAAACACAAGTATTTTGGGATGGGGTGGTATGTCTTAGACTTAGTATGTTCTTTTCTTGGTCAATATTGACCAGGGTCTTTGTGTATCTATTTAGCAATGCCAACGTAAATATTCACACAGATATCATATGACATTTATTATGTACTATAGACATACAACATAAAGTGATAGTCATATTGGTACATATTTATAAACTGTTACTACAGTTAAAAACTTAGTAGCATGTAGCTAATTAAGAAAAAACATCGACATTTGTCCCTTTATAAATAAATATTGGTACATATACTTTGTCTATAAATATAATTGTGAATAGAATAAAAGAAAGTTAACTAACAAAAACACGCTCGCCTGTTGTTGATGAGTTCATGTTGCGTTTTATAAAGCGCTTTCTTAATGTTATTGTTGATGATGTGCAGAGGATAGTCCCTTAGTACTAGTGTCATAGTTAGGTATTTAAGTTCTTTTTGTAGGTTGTTAAGTTCTGTAATGATAGTGCAGTATCTGAGAGCTTGGCTGTATATGGTGCCTGGTATGGTTTGTGTGGGATGATGCGAGTCTTAGTGAAGTAGTCCCATTGTGTCAGTTGGTTTTCGATAGATGGTCGTGTGAATGATCCCTTGTTCATTTTTGTACAGTAGTATGTCTAGAAAGTTTATTGATGTTGTTGAGTGATTAAAAGTGAATTTGATTGTTGGATGGATGGTATTCATGTAGTTGCAGATCTGATCTAACACTTCTATGGGTCCTTGAAAAATGAAGTATATGTCGTTCATGAATCTTCTGTAGAAAGTAATGTTGTTCGGAAATCGGTTAGTGATTCGTTCATCAAGCCTTCCCATGAATAAATTTGCATAGCATGGTGCAACTCGTGTACCCATTGATGTGCCTGTCAGTTAATGGTAGTGTTTGTCACCAAAGGAGAAAGTACTGTTTGATATTATTTCTTCTATTAGGTTGCTTATGATACCTGGGGATGGGCAGTCAGGTGGTCTAACTTGTAATGGTATGAGCCTCAAGTAATGTACTACTGCGTCTCTGTCTTCTCTGTGTGGAATGATGGTGTAGAGTGATTTCATGTCAGCCGTCACAAAGATGAATTCTGAAGATTGAAGTTGTATATTTTGTAATATGTTGAGAAAGTATATACTGTCTTTAATGTAAGCTGGTAGTGATTCGACTAGTGGTTGTATGAATTTTGTCAGGTATTCTGATAGGTTATCCGTTGGTCCGCTGCATGCGCTGATTATTGGTCGTAGTGGAATGTTAGGTTTATGAGATTTTGGAAGTCCGTGGTCTACATGGCTAGTGGGGAAGGAGGAAATTTGCAGTCTTCCCCCTAGTCAGTGTTTTTGATAACAATGTCTCGGTTGTTTTGTAAGTTTTTCAGTCACCTGGTTTCAGATTGTTTCTCTTCCTCGGTATCTGTTCCACATCTCTTCTAGATCTCTGTCTATCTTGCCAAAATATTCGAGTATGTTTTCATTCTCTGTTTCTTGAGGTACCCAGCTGAATTTCTTGTAGAATCCGGATCTCTTCTACTCCTTTCTATCCTTGAAGATCATCTTGAGTCGTAGTTTTCTTTTGAATTTCTCCACACTAGCCTCGTATACTTCTCTTCCCACTTTCTGTGAGTTGGGTATAAAATTCAATCCTTTTCCAAGTACTTCCTTCCAAGATTTTTATATAGAAGATGTCGGCAAGGGAAGAAATGTAAAGTGTATGCATAAGACACTGATTGTTAATAAATACAGTGGTGTGTTATATGCTTAGTAACACGTCTTGTGTTATCTTGTGATGAGTTGCATTATAAGTGAGGATTAATTAGTAAATAAATAAGTCAGTGTTAGCATATTTTGTTATTTAAATATTTAAATAAGCATATAAATCGTGTAAAATTAGTCAAGGAAGGTAAGAGTCATTAGTTGTTGTGCTACTAAATTGTTGTTAGATTCCAGCGTAAATCTAATGTACAGATAGAATTAGTAATAAGTAGAATTATTCGTTTTATAAGTAGTCACCATGTGGTTTGCATTATTAGGGTGATAAACATACATACAGATATAAGTGTCATGAACGTCTCGAGTACAGTATTCTCGAGTATTACAGATTTGTGCCTTATGGTGCAGTATGAACACATGAAGACCTCTAGCTTTCATCTGAGACTGGTATCCCAACAGAAGTTCTACTCTGGGTTTACAGCAGGGTATCTTTTTAAGGTATCCCATTGTGTTATCCCAAAAGGACTATTCTCAGAGTATCCAGTCAGGACGATTGCCACAGACTCCTGAATTCACACTGACACCAGAGGACACTTTGCGGGGTTCAGTACAACTTAAAAACAATAGTAAGTAATTTTTTGACATGAGTGTCTATAAGTGCAGTGGTTTGTCAGAGTATACCTTGGGTAATTGAGAGTTGTAAACTGTTTTTAGTTCTTATAACTATGTGTGTAATGTAAATAGTCAATGTGGTGTACTCGTGTATGACCACTGTAGTAGCATGTCTCAATAGTAAGACCTATCAGTATAAAAATAGTTGTAAGTCTTTTTAATTGGTGTAATGTAAGGTAGACGTGAGAACTATGAGTTCAATAAATGTGTATCA